AATGGTTGCAGAATCTATGAGAAAGACGAGCCCCAAATTCAAAAAACTTGGAAAGTTTGGTTGAAAACGGTTCTAGACACTCGTGGCCTGAATCAAAAGGCCTGAATCAAAAAAAATTTAAACATTTTACTTTGTTTTAAAATGGCCTGAATCAAAAGCATCATCTTTTAAAAACTTGGGCAGTCGATATAACCATGGTTGTGATCGTAGGTATAAAAAACGATCCAGATCGTATTTGGAGTAGGATCGTAAGATCATAGATAGGATCGACATCTGATCCGATCCTACCTTCCCTTGATTATTATTATTATTATTATTATTATTTTGCAAATGATTTTTCTTTACCAATTTATGGTTTTTACCCTTTACTAATTTATCGTTTATCATTTTATGCTGTAACTTATGACTAATATTTTGAAGTTTTTATAACTTTTGAACGAAAAATTGAATGTTTGGAATATTTTTCATGATTAAAAATTATAAATTAAAATTATATTTTATTTTGTAGGATCTTAAGATCCCGATCCCGATCTTGCAAACAAAAAAATGATCATACCGATCTTGCAAACCAAAAAATGATCATACGTAGGATCCCGATCTTGACATATAAAATTGAATTATTTTCACCATCTATAATATTCTATTTTCTACTCCATTTTTTTTTATAATTTCTTGTGGTGCTAAGCCACATTCACAAGCAAAATGGGAAGTATGCCAGGGACATTTTTGTCAAGTCCAAAGTATTTTTTATTAATTATTATATATGATTCTATTTTTTTAAATAAAACAACGAAATCAAAATATAAACTAAAACTAAATATCTAAAAATAAAATCAAAGGGACAGAAATAACTAAAAAATCATAATTGTGGAAAATGTTAATATTGGAGAGGATCGCCAAAAATGTCGAGCCCCCGTTTCTAAGGGGAGTGTTAGAATATATCACATGAGTGCGACAAATTCATATATATATATATATATATATATATATATATATATATATATATATATATATATATATATCCTCCTCTCTCCATAAGTAATCTTTTAGAGAGACAATCCACATATATCTTACATGGTATTAAAGTCGGCATCTAGCACCCCGTGACTTGATACATCTGTGTCTACCATTATCGAGCCGACATTTCTAAGGGGGGAGTGTTAGATATCGCACATTAATGCCACATACTCCTATAAGTAACCATATATGTTGAAAATACCCTCTCTCTTCATAAGACTCTTTTGGAGAGTTAATATGAGACTCTACATATATCTTATAGTTTCATATATTTTTTTTAATCCTTTAAACTCCCAATGAGACTCTACTTATATCTTACGGTTCCACTATTGTTTTTGAATACTTTAAATCCTAAACATTGGGGCGCTGAGAGGGGACAAAGTGGACAGTTACACAGAGCCCAATTTATTTTATTATATATTATATATACATTTATTTAAAAATAAAAACTTATAATAACGATAGGTACACTTATTCTCTGACTCGTCCTGGACATTTGAGAACATTTACATCCTCAGGACCGCCCTGATCCTAAACCCCAATATTTCGCAGCTCAGCCATCGGTCTCCCATCACGAATCTGATTTTAATCTTTTGTTTATCTTATCATGATCTTTGTATATAATATTTAGCATATTAAATATGGCATACTAAACCAATTATAGGCGAATGAACCGAGCAGACTTATGTTTTATTTTCAATCGTTCAAATAATATTAAGGTGCCCAGTATGTATTCAAATACCTACAAAGTTTTTAGTTACTAAAAGAATAGCTTCTTAATGTACTAATATCATTGTTGTAATCATATTTGATACATAATTATGTATAAAATCTAAGAAAACAAAAATTGTTAAGGGTTAACTCGATCTATTTTGATCCACACTAAAGCATTATATGTTTTGTTATGAACTCATTACTTGTTATGTTCGTTATTTCGATTTACATATTTAAGATAAAGCATATTATGGGGTTGTTTGATATGGCTCGTATTAGGTATGTAGAATATGACTCACTCCGAATCAAATTGTTTGTTTTGCACACTTGAGAGGTCTGGCCGAGTCATCCCAAAATTTTAGCTGATTGTAAAACTTCCTTTGTATGTCTTTTTCAGTAATCGTGTCAATCTCCTCCGTGCTTGAGCAACACCTCAAGCCAAATTGGCCCTTGCCTCTTGTACATCTTTATTCTCTCATCACTCCTCTATTCAAATATAGTCCAACACTTAATATTTGACTATATAATTAGATATCACAATGTTTATTTTTGCTTTTGTGGTGGAAGTGTTGGTAGCCATTGTACGAAAAAAAGTAAAAAATAAAAAAAATGTGACATGAATGCTCTTTTCTTCCATTGTCCTTGTTTTCAAGACAATTGTATACAAAAAGTGTGTTCAACGCAACCGAAAGTTGTCATTGATCCATCTACTTTCACAATGTAATGCTTCCAGTCATGTCTTGAGTTGACTATGTATGACTCGGTGTTCTGTATCAACAAACCAAACTCTGCAGTCTACATGTTTGGTATTCTTATATTATACTAAGTTTAAAAATAATAAAATAACATCAAATCATCATAAAAGTTATTTTGCTATATATGTGTATAGTGGGTTTGCATTTTATTAGGCAGATTGTACCACTAACATAAATATACTCTAGTTTATATTTTTAGTCTACTCATAATAATGAAAGAAAAAAAAAAGAAACTATTTTGTTGATAAAAAAACAGGTGACTGGACTAATGATGAAGAGATGCCGAATCCACTATAACTCCTTAAATGAATTTGATGATCAATGAAGTAGATTTTGGTTTGAACTTAAAATGTTATAATAAAGATTAATCATGATTAACATGAAAATAAATTGCAAAAATGACAAAATAATTGCATCTCAAATGATTGTCAGATTATATAAGATTAGATGAAGATAATTAAAAACGGCAAAATGAGAAATAAACATATAATAATAATAATAATAATAATAATAATAGTTTTTTAGAAAGTGGTTAGGCGTGGTACGAAAATATGATTGAATATTCGTCCTTAATCCTACGTGGGATTCCATTTTGAATACATACAACCAACTACATGTAAATAGTAGCTGCTTCATATAAAATCGGGTTGTTTTATGCAAAAGACAACCAAATTTGTTTAGATTTATAATTTTGTTATCTAAGTATGGAATTATAAAAGAAATCATAAAAGCAATATAGATTAATTTGATTATCATTATAAAACTAATATGGATTAATTTGATTATCATTTTTGCATTTAGTTATGACTAAGTTAGGATTAAGAACGACAAACAAGTTTAATTATACATATAATCCCAACTGAAACTTTTTGTAAAGTTCATATGTATGCTTTTATTATTTTCAAATTTCCATAGCTGACTTAAGAATTAGAAAGTATTAGTTATTCTTTTTATTTTCGATACCTAAAAACTTTTATATTAAAGTTATTTATATATCACGTTTCGTGGAACGTTAGACTTTGATTCGACTATTTGTTTCGGTAGGAACTATGTGGATAAGCGGAAAACGAAATAGAAAGATTAACAAAGTTGAGACTTGTGTTCGAAACAATTTCGTTAATAAAGAGTTTATGAAATATTTATAGACCTATAAAACTATATAATCTTTTGTCAATCAGGCGGGAGGGGGGGGGGGGGGGGGGGGAGAGAGAGAGAGAGAGAGAGAGTTATTGCCGTCAAATTTATTGATTCGGATTGGCTTCTCAGTGTAAGGAATCAATGGGAAAGAAAGACGGTAATTTGCCACTTGTTTTCATGACAAACATTATTACGAGAGATGTAACACATTAATGGGACAAGTGAGCTCTTACGAAACATATTGTCAAAAAGAATGGGTTGATAATTCGTTATAATACTCTGAGTGTGAGAGAAAAATATACTTTGGAAACCACGGCACATAAATTAAAAAGAAATGTGGCGCGAAGAATAGTACATTGCTATAGCTTTAAGTGTTGGTGAAGGACGTGGTGCATGTAATTGGGTGTCTCGTCATGTCTTAATGTTTGGAACAATGACACATGGCAGCAGGAGAAGGATATGTGGCCATTCATAGAGGAATGAAAAAGCATAGACACGACGCGTCTATAGGTATGCGCGACACGTCATTTAAAATGTGGCAAGAATTAGTGATGCATGTGTGTGGCAGATCCGGGGAAATGCACATGGATGCGGCCCGTCGATGGTAAACTTTTGGCACGTCTTGTTGATCATCCAATATATATATATATATATATATATATATATATATATATATATATATATATGTGTGTGTGTGTGTGTATGTGTGTGTGTGTGTGTGTGTGCGCGCGCGCGCGCGCACGCGTGTGAGTGTGTCTTCCGTCATTCGTTTTGAAAAATTGAGAGGTGTTTCCTGAGGCTTATAACCGAAGAATGTATATTAGTGTACGAGGATACGAAGGTTAAGCTATAGGATGTGTAGATGTGCCTTTTATCTATTATGTGATAATGTTTACATAGTGTAAGTAAAAGGATTGATTGAAACCCGATTGGGTTAGTAGGGTTCATAATATGGTGCTATAATGAACTCGGTGACGGGGTTTTTTTTAGAACAGCTGGATATTATAAAAGAAAAACAAAACAATGACTAGCAAGAAACTAGTCCAACAACAAGTACGTCAAGAACAAATAGCTAACTGAGGGTTTTGAAGCCAACCAACCCAGTTTATGTTTTTCTTAGCCATAGTCTTACACCAATAGAATGTTTGAGTAACAAAATTATCAAACAAAACAGCCGCCCTTGGACCAGAATTAGCAAAAATTTGAGCAATCCTGAAATTACAGATGTGCCACCAAAGCGAAAAGAAAACACCTTCCAACCAACTTTTAGCCTCGCCAGAAAGCCGGAAAGAGGCAAACCAAGACGCCCAATCATCAAAGGAATCAATCACAATATCATCGAGGTTTCACCATCTAAAAACTTGCAAACGAAGAACCTTAGAAAGATGACAACTGAAAAAACAGATGATCTCTGTTTTCAATGTCAAAATCACAACGAGGGCACTGTATCGACGAAACATCCAAACTCCTGTTTGCTAGGTTCTTCCGAGTAAGGAGTTTATCCAAAGCCAAACACCAAGCAAACACGTTAACCTTGATGGGAACCAACTTGCACCAATTAGTCATTGAAGGAGACAACGGAAGTGACTTCAAATCAATGAACGATCTAGAAGAAGAGACAGAGAAGTCTCCCATACCAGAAAGAGACCAAAGCCAGAATCCATCAACTGAACCAAACCTTCCCATTGGGTGTTTTCGGCTCCACCCCTAAGATCCCTTCGAAAAGAAAAGAGAATAGAACCATGTTCCATTTTAGCTTGAACTGTCACCTGCTTATCCAAATCTAAATTTATAAGTCTCGGGAATTGACTTTTTAAATTAGATTTTCCAATCCAAATGTCGTTCCAAAAGGAAGTCAAAGACCCATCTCCGACATTCTTTTTACAAAACAAAAAAACAAGTCGATACCCTTATTTTTCAACTGGTCCACAACTCTCAAAATATATAACTACACCGAACCTCTACCAATATGAAATCTAGAACCAATACAAGTGTTATCCCCGTGGAATTCTTGACTTGGTGACAGAATAATAGTTAGTCTTCAGTAACTAGTGGGGTCAGTAACCATACTTCGTTTCTAGATAAATGTTTTCTAGATGCGTGTTTATTATTGTATTGTGTTAATTACGTGATAAATACAATATTATGATTATTATGAAATTTAATGTTTGGGTTTAGAACCTATAAGGTTGTGTATGGTTGATAGTTGTGGTGAACTAATATGGTTGAATGTTATAGCATGTTATTGCCATGCGAAACAAGGAGTTGTTTGAGTTGCATTAAAAAGAGATGACAACCGTGGTGACCGTAATACCATCATTTGAGGAATACAAATCAATAGCGGACTTGTTGTCTATAATGCTATACTTGTAGATAAATATTGGAGAATTACATGTCAATAGAGGACTTGGTGTCTATAACTCTATACTTGTAGATTGTGAAGGTAAATGTGGTAGCATTGGTGACTGTAGTACTATCGCTGAAAGACTGCAAGTCAATGGCAGACTTGGTGTTTATAACACTACAATTGCGAAAGAATGTGTTGTAGTGGAAGTTTGTAAGGATGTAATGCCAATGAGGGAAATTTTGGTTGGATTAATTGGGAGTTTGTGTAGACAACTATTTCCTTTGTTGGTCATGAAGACGACTACTATTTTCTTTTTTGACCATTTTTACCCTTTCTTACTATTTCTCAATTTATAAACATTACAAATATATACACATTTAAAGGATTCCAACCTCAGAACCACTTATGAAAAAATGGGTTTTTTCTTGTTTACATATATAAACCTTTGCAACCTTCTACTATATGTCATTGGTAATATCTTATGTTGAATCCGCACACCTAATTTCAATTCCTTCAAATTTGAGTATCTTGTTTCCATCAAATATTAAGATCATACTACCATGCCTTAACTACTTTTTAGAATTTTTGCTTACTAGTTACCGACTATATATGTATTTGACACACTTCTCTTATTTCCCTAAGTCTTAAACTGTTTACTCATACCAATTCATTCATGCTATCACTCATTTTATCCCAATGTTGGTACTTGTAAATCAACTTATTTTTAGCATATGCACTAACGTATTTCCAAAATTTCATAATAAACATGTTCTAATTCTTATTCTTAAGAAAATCATTACTCATCTTTACAAAGATCTATTGTATTATATTCCTCTTCATTTGAAACTGTTGACTTTGTGAATTCATGTTTATTCGCAAGAATCGTAATTATATAACATCAAATTTTTGGTCCTCATCTTATGGACTATAGTCATGTATTCTCAAATTGGGCTACCTTTTATCTAGCTAGCTTTCACCTTTATATGATTTTATTTGCATTTCAACCATTTTCTTATTCCTTGAGGTCTTTAATTTTTTCTTTCTATACTAACCTATTCAAGATGATCTAACATGTGGTTAAATGTTTCAAACTTACCTAATATATCCCTTAAAAATAAATAATGTCATTTTTTAAGGTCAACCTCTAATAACATTTGTTAATTATTTTCATTTTCTCGAGAAGGATTCCTAACATTCCTTGTATCTTTCATAATCATAAGATAATTCCCATAACAAACCTCAAGAGTTAATTCTCGTACTCTTTATTCCTCAAAAATATACCATATCACAAACTCATAGTATTTTACTCATAACTTTTCCTTTTCAAAATTCATCACATAAATTCACTTTTCCTGAAGATTTCATAGGAAATCCCTTATATAGTGTTTCATAACAACAATTTGTCAAGAATTAATATCTCAACCTTGACGTTCGTTGCTCATTCATGGTGTTTGTACCTTAAAGTATCACATTATGAGTTAAATCAAACCCTTAACCTCTCATTATTCTCTATCTATTATGCCCTTAGACTTCTATTTCGTGCCTTATTACATATATGTCATTATTGTTCCTTATATCTTGCTTGATTTAGTCCATCATGTTGGACCCTTTATAATAAAAATCTACCCTATTATAGTTAATACTTTGCATTTCCTATATGCTTCCGTTGCTTCCATGTTACATCATTATACTTGGAACAACTCTATCATTATCCACTTAAGTCTTTAAGTCTTGATAAGTGTCATGATTCTTTGGCCCTTTGCATTTTGTCACTGTATTTCTATTTCTATCATCATTATATCTTTACACTCTTGTTGATACCCTGAAGTTACTTGATATTTTCCAACTTTTCTTAATTATTTTCATGTCCCTAGGCATCATTGCTTAGTTGCTTAGTTCTTTCTATACAATATTGCACAAGTTTAATTCTCCACGTATCATCATACTCCACTTCTTGTTATTTCTAGTCATAAACTTAACTTTCCATATACATGAGTAAGGGTTCATCTATTTATCTCTCATTATCAATGCATAAGTATTCCAATCTTCAACTATGACTCCTACAACAATGTTTTTTCCGAATACATAGATGATTTCTTTCTTTCTTAGTCATAATAAAATGACTTATAATGTCCATCATCAAATTTCCACATTCTAGATGTATCCAAGGTGGACGACAATATAGCTAGAGATTTTGGTCAACAAAAATCAATGCTAGTCAACTCTGGATAAACAGTCAAATTCATATTAGTGGTTGCACTTGTGCTAAGTATTAAATATGCACGAGCTTACACGGACCTTATAATAAAGTTGTACAAATTTTGAAATCCTAAGTTTTTATCTTTGATTCGTTCATGATGTATGTGGTTCAAAGTACCATAATATGGCATGAAACAAACTGTCAAACTTTTGTTGATCTTAAATCATCGTTTCTTGAAACTTGTACTTCTACCACTCTATCAATATGATTATTCATATGATCACTCATTACAAATCTTCTCGTCTACCCCTTAAAAGAAAATGAATGGCATTTTCTTTTAAGGTCTAATTAGTTACATGATTATCATGTAGTAAATGATGTAATGCAATCCATGATGTCCAAATTGAATCCTTTTACCATGCTAGTATCCCACCATGTGAATTCACCTTTTCCTATAAGGGTTGTTAAATTTATTCTTTAGATAATGTTCAAAAATTAACAAGTTCTCATGTCTTGAATTGCATTCCTTCTCAATACTTTATCATTTCCATCACCTAGACTTATTTTAATTTATCATTAAGGTATAGAAATTTGCAAGAAATGCATGTAAAATTTTCTCCCTATTAAAATTGTATCTCCACAATTTAATACATTATGACAATGTACTTTCACTCATTTTCTAATAGCGTCTTGATTTCATAAATACATTTTCCTTTCAACTATCATCATACTCAATGTACGAGATTGTTGTTATTAAGTCACTAATCGCCTTAAGGTCTTATTCTAGATCAAAAGATCCCCTCGAATCAATGTCCTCATTTATTTTCTAAGTTGTTTTTGGTCGAATTCCCACTTTCATCACTATACTAAATCATTCAATATTTATCAATAATAATGTCTTTTACTCCACACAATAATAACAACATACCTAAATATCGATTATCCAAAAGAAAAGAACGGCTACTCACATTAGATTTTTACATGATGATAAGTTTCCAATTCTTGTAGTTCCTTATCAGTTTTTGTCCCGAAAGTTGTCAAAACAACACATTAACTTGAGTGTCACGACCTAAGGTACAACCAATTTCTATATAAACTTGATTAAAACATTTCCATCATATTTATAGGGCTTAATCCATCATTAAAACTTGTTATACTTTATGGATAACTTTTAAATATGTCTTAATCCACCAAGACATATGTTCAACTTCACTTGTAAGGTCCTGAAAAGGATCTTTACCAATGATCAAGCAACAAACAATCACAATAGATGAGGAAGAAGAAAAGAAATCGAGCTTGCACACGTTTATATTCAGAAAAACGTCAGGTACAACTCGATGGAACACTCTGTAAACGCAATGACATCAACAACCGCACAATGACCTACACCTCTGCTATTTATACTAGACTAGACCGCAAACTGGGTTTACGACCGTAAACAGGGTTTACGGTCGTAAACACACTTTCCAACAGTAAACACCTAAACAACTCTCAAAATGTATTACAGACTCATACTGAACTATTACATTGAAAGCCTAGACCAAACCACATTAACTGGACCTTTCAATCTCCCCCTTGGTTTGGTGCTAGCTTGGACTCAGCTTTTGTCGACCACCAGCACATCAGATTTTCCCATAGCTCCGTTCCACATCTCCTTCTCAATAATCTCAGCAACCATCGGAGTGTATTCCTTTGCAACGGGCTCAAAAATGTCTTCAGCCACCTTGATCTGATGAATGGAGAGCTGATGTATGTCCCACTTGCCAAATTGAAGCAAATCCCTCTTGTCATACAAGCGGATACAATCGTCTTTAAGCTTGATGACAGCAGCAGCAGCAGATTCATCAAACACCCAGTATTGCATGGATGCGAGAGATCCATCTGGATAATTTTGAAGAACGGGAACCTGCTTTACTTGAGCAGTAGCGGGCCACATCACTGATCGAAGTGGCTGACTTGTTTTGGGATCAATGACGCTAGGATAAATCTTGATAATAGACTCTGCAGTCTTCATTGAAGGGAAACCCTTAGCTACTTGATCTTCCAAAAATGATTTGAACTGAGTCGCCCTGGGATTGTTTGATGGATTTGAGAAAGGAGCTTTAGACAGCTCCGTAAGATCAATCCTAGTAAAGGAAT